AAGAAAGTGTTTAAGCTCTTAGTGGGTTTTCCTAAGCTATCGTAGATCTAGGTAGGCTTTAAATAATTCAAGTGATTTGATTGAATTCTAGATTATGAATATCCTAAAATAGATTATAATAGTTCCAAACCTTCAAGAACCATTTCATCTAGTAAAAGCATTTTCCAGTCTATAAGAAAGAAGGAACTCATCGATTTAAGGGGAACAATGGGGTGGGGCATAAGGGGTGTGAGACCTGTCGGGTCGGGATAGGTCCATTTTGATGAGAGTAATCCACATTCTGGTCCTTTAAACCGTACTAGGTTGGGTTAGGTGACGCAATATGATACATATATACACATACACACACATGCATACAATGGAATTGACTACAATCCGACAACGTCAGGCTAGGGTCCAATTGACCTAGATCCGACCGGACTTTAGTTGGATCAGGTACCCCATTAGGATTTCGAAACCTATTTATACGGATGGGAAATGGGTCTGGGTTGACACAATTGGGTCCTGATCTGGACCCAAAAAATGGACCCAAAGTGTCGGTTTCTAGGTCCACTTGATCTTGACCCAAGATGGCTCTGGTATGGGTCTGGGTCCGGGTCCAGCTTGGTAGGTCAAGTTTGGATAAGATCGAGGTCAATCCGACTCGGTATATATTAGTAAAAACTCGGAAAAATTATAAAATACTCCCAATTTGTACTTTCTAGACATCTTCCCTGTAACACTTTTGATAGCATATTATTAACCCCAACATTGTTTTTCTTTGCAACCTAATCCCCAAAGTAAAAAAGTGAACTTTTTTTTAGACTACAATTGCAACCAAACCCCCAAAGTAAAAAAGTGAACTTTTTTTTAGACTACAATTACTGCCTCACACAATCCTCCCCTCACCCCAAAAAAAAAAAACTTGACTCCCCCCAAAACCCGACTCCCAACATGTGTCAGTTCAGCACAAAAATGTGAAAGACTAGCACTACTTGAATACATAGCAAGTCTTGAACATAAAATGTGTAGGACTTTTCTATATCAAGTTGTGTCAGTCCCACACATTTGGTGATGGACCGGCTTAAGAGATAAAGTGAAAAATGTGACCTAAACAGAAGGTATTTTGGTCCTATTTTTTTACTTTGGTGGATGGTTACAAATATAAAAGGCTTTAAAGTTAGGAGTGTGATTTACAAAGTATTATGGAGTGACATGCCTAGAAAGTAGGGTAAAAGGGAGTATCTATAATTTTTTTCTAAAAATTACTTATAAATAATATTAACTACAGGACACGGTTTCTATAAGTCCTCATACTAACATTTTAAAATTTGGCCCCCCTTTTTGAAATAGATTTTGATCCTAATTTTTAAGGAATATGTAAATCCCTAGTATGAAGATCATTGATATGTGTAAAAATAAATAAATAAATAAAATAAAATTAATATCTTTAAAGGAATATCTAAATTGTGGATTCTACTTTTTTATTTTGAGAGACTATCGTTTAAATCCACTTTTGGGGTGGATGATTTATGCCTTGAGGGACACAAATATCGCAATGGGAGGCAAGGGCACACAGGGGGATAGGG